GAATATTGGAGTGTGTGTGAGTATGGCGTTTGAGGTCAGCTCAGCATGGAGGCTGAGAGAGTAGGGGGCAAGCTCAGCACGCGCACACTTCTCTCAGAATCAGTGCGGTCTGGCGACACAGGCATTTACGAAGAGATCCAAGCGAAGTAAGTGATACAAAACGGATTCACGAGATCGGACAGTTAGCGACAGAACTCAAAGAGGGGCAGGAACGAGGATGCGAGAGTGGAGACAACGCGGCGCGCAGCGCGCGCGCAGAGGAATCGAAGGCGCTAGTGAAGCCTCTCAGGAGCACAGCGAAGCGACATGAAGTATAACTGCTCTCCACGTTGTTGGCACTGGGCTCGCAGTGAGAAATGTGCTACCTGTGCCAGTGGAGAGCAGTGGAGCCTTCTCATACTATCCGGGAAGGTTTGGCGCTGCACCACTTATGGCGACCACAATACAAACAAATACTGGGAGTCGCAGCTTCGGTGAGACAAGAGCTCGCCCCGCCCGATCTCAGAGCAAACGCCAGCGCATGAAGTGGACTAAGGAGTTAAATATCTCCATTATACATGCTTCCTTTTTGGCTACCAGTCTTGAAGCGGACATGGAGGGATACAGGGCCAGATTTCACGAAGAATGGTTAAAGCTGCATCCGAATATACCGGTATCCGAGCAGAGAGTGTGCGACTAGCAGCACACCATCTTTGTAAGGAACTTGCTCTCAGCTGCAGAGATAAATACCATTAGGGAGAATGTAAGAGCATCCTTTGGTATTGAGAATAGGAATGAGACTGATGAAGGAAGAATAATGAAGACTCGCAAGCTAATCAAGAATGATCTGTGGATACGAATGCTGATGAATCCTGCCTCCCAGTGCCTGAGCAATTCTCTTGGACTGTGACTTGGACTCTGCAATTCTAAAGCCATGAATCCATACTATCATGGTATTCCATTATCCTCCACACCATGGATCCCACGAGTGGAATATGGCCCACGAACAAATGCGGTGATGGAAACTGTCAATAACTTGCTGAAGGTGGATGTAGAACAAGCGACAGCGCTTGAGGAAGTGGAAAGCTATGTGTCTTGTGCAGCCCTTGCTGTTGTACAGGGTCATGGTAAAACCTGTAAAGGATAAATTAAAAACATCGAAAGACACAGTACAGTCCGTTAAGCCCACCAAGCCCTTCTGGTTGAGGCGTATTGAGCGCAAAATTGAAAGCTTCCGGCAGGACATAGGCACTCTGACAGCCTTCTTAAAAGCTCCTGAGAATGCAACTAGAAAGCAGTGAAGGTGACTGGACGAAAGATGCGAATTCGAAGAACCCAGACGAATTTCGAGGAGAGGCTCCAAGTCCGACTTGAGTATCTGAAACAGCGCGTCGCAGCCCTTGGGTGCCGTATAAGAAGATATCGTAAAGCAATGAAACGAAGACAACAGAATGCTTTGTATTCATGCGACCAAAAGAAACTTTTCAGGCAACTCAGTGGTCAAAGAAAGGGGTCTGAAACAGTTCTTAAAAGCTCCGAGATGGAGGAATATTGGAGTAATATATGGAGCATCCCCAAGACCCATAATGATGGAGCTTACTAGTTAGCAGAAGAGGAAGGGAAGTGTTATGCTATACCTCAGATGTGCTCGTCTAGTATTACACAGGGAGATATCTTCAATTCAGTCAGAAAGATGCAGAATTGGAAAGCGCCAGGTACAGATGGGATTCAAAACTTTTGGTGGAAGTATTTCCCGTGTACTCATGCGGTTCTGGCCAGGTGGTTTCAAGCTGCATTCAATGATCTTATCATTGCGGTGTCTTTTACTGAAGGAGTTACATTTATGATAAGCCAGTCTAGCGATCCTAAGACTCAAAAGTAACTATCGACCTATCACATCTCTCCCCACAATATATAAGATTTTTACATCTGTGCTAGCCAGTATGCTGAATACCCATCTAAAGGCCAATAATCTTCTGGCACCAGCGCAAAATGGTTGCAAAAAGGGCGCTCAAGGTTGCAAAGAATTATTGATAGTAGTGTTGTAGTCAATCTAGTTAAAAACACACCGTAACATTTCTGTAGAATGGATTGATTATACCAAGGCCTTCGACTCGATACCTCATTCATGGCTTTTGTATGTCCTTCGTCTCTACAAAATAAATGCCCAGTATGTGAACTTAATCCAACACTGCATGGCAACTTGGCGTACAAAGATAAAAGTCTCATTCGCTGGAGGCATCAATACCACCAATCAAACGAGGATCAAACGAGGAACCGAGGATCAAACGAGGAATTTTTCAATTTTTCATTTTTCAATTTTTCAGATAGTCTTAGTCCCTTATGGTTCTCGCTAGTTCTAAACCCTCTCAGCAGAATGATAAGAGATTCAGGAATGGGATATGAAATCACCGATAATCCCCGTATCCACATTAATCATCAGTTCTACATGGACGATCACAATTTGTACGCCAGAGAAAGAACCAGTTTTCCTCGGTGCTGAACTTGTTTGGTTCTTTAGCGACTCTTATTTGTATAGAGTTTAGCATTGATAAATGCGCTGCAGTGCCCGTGAAAAGGGGGAAAATCCTTGATCTTGAAAAACTCATCCTGATGTGTGGCTCAAATATCCAAGAACTTGGGCAAGAGGATACCTATAAATATGTAGGTCTGCACCAACTTTTGAACAAGAGAATCACAGATGAGGTGTGATATTAGAAATAAAGTTGTCCAAAGTGTCTCAAAAATCTGTAAAACTCTTTTAAATGGAAAGAACCTTATATCGACACTTGGGCAGTACCTGTCGCTGTCTATTCATTTGGTGTTCTTCACTGGACAACAACTGCACTGCAGGAGCTTAATCGAAAAGTTAGGACCACTCTTACCAAGTATCGAATGCACCATACCAATAGTGCAATGGCAAAACTATACTTACCTCGGAACGAAGGAGGTAGAGCTCTTCTGGATTTTGAATACTTGTGTGCGAAGCAAATCACCAATCTTCGCAAATATTTCCTTCAGAAAACGACAGTCATGCATAAAGCAATTTGTGCAACGGACAAGAATTTTACCCCACTGAACCTGAATCAAGCGGACTCTGAAAGACCATGTATCACGGAAGAAGATAGGCTGAGTGAGTGGACCCAGAAGCGTTTTCACAGCAGGTATTCTGTTGAGCTCAAGGGAAACGCCGTGAATATGGGATCGTCAGTCTTCTGGCTAACAAAATCAGGCCTCTTTGCTGAGACAGAAGGGTTCGTCATTTCTATTCAGGACGAAGTAACCTCCACTCGCAATTACCAAAGGTATGTAATTCGAAATATGAGTGTAGAGGACCGCTGCCGCCTTTGCAATCAACCCGGCGAAACACTCCAACGCGTCATGGGCGGGTGCTCCACTTTGGCACAAACAGAATACCTGAGTCGGCACAACGACGTTGCTTCGGCTGTCCATCAGGCCCTGGCTGCAAGATGATACAGATAGAGGTCCCATACTACAAGTTCAAGCCGGATTCAGTTTTGGAGTCGAAACGGTGGAAGCTCATTTGGAATGTAGCAGTCACCACTGATCCCAGAGGCGAAGCCAACAGACGTGAGATAATATGGATTGATAAGGCTTCACCGAAAGGGATTATAGTCGACATAGCTATCCTTTTGGACCGACATATAGTTGCCTCTGTTACTGAGAAGCGAAAATATCAGACCTTGGCTATTGAACTGAGCGACATGTGGCGAATAGTATCTGTTGAAGTAATCCCTGTAGTCATCTCTGCAAATGGACTGATCTGTGAAGAACTAATTTCATCGTCTGCAAGGCTTGGCCTGAAGAACTGGCACGTGTAATCACTGCAAAAGGCTGTTCTCCTGAGTACTGCACGCATCGTTAGGAAGTTTTTGTTGATATAACTGACCGCCCGAGTTTACAAGCGATGGAGGAACCTTAGTTCTACAAAGGTCCAGGAGTCTGCTATGAACACCTCGCTAAGCGAGAGACTTGAAAGAAATATAATGATTAAAAATAATTACAAACATTTGTTCTGCGGATCTAGAATTAATAATTTATGAGTGCATATTTAAAACAGCAAGAATAAAACATCTGTTCATTTCTGGAGCTTATATGTTGTGAAACTAAAACAAAGATTTTATTGAAACTACCTGAATGTATATTTTATATAAAAATCGTATTTATTTTTTGAACTATTTACAAAGGAGTCACTGATCTTGTGAATTCAATTTTCTTTCGACGCCAAACAAGCAGACGCGTGCCTTTCTCTTTGAACTAGTGGCCACGTCGGTCACCTGCTCTCTTCGTCTAGGTGGGATTAGGTGGGAGAGGGGATTAAGCGTACTTCCCGAGAGTTTACATGTTTGAAACCGCCAGCCAGTATCCGACCTGCTCAAACATGCTTGCCAAAGCTATTCGTTCTTCCCCTGTGGATTGCATTTTAATGTAATCACACGTTATAAAAATATGTCTGGATTCGTCTATATACGCTCGTCATGATAGACTAAAAAATATGTTTAGTTCCATTTGAAAAAAAAAGAAAGTTACCTCAATAACTCGTAAACTACAAGTGATAACATGGAAATGAATATATGTATAGCCCCATTCCCTCATGCACTTCCGTGAAAACTGCATTGAAAAAACTTCAACCATTCCAAAATTACAGGAGGTGCTAAAGTTACGTGAGTAATGTATATTTGGCTACACTTTTGCTTTTTAAATCTTACCCCTGCTGATAAGGTTCATGTCAATCTCGAATTTTTCTTCTAGATAATCTGATAGTTTTTTCCTTTACTTACATATTTTTCTATTTTCTGGATATACAGCATATAAGAGTCCATCTAGGAAAGAGCTCAATGATTACAGGAAAACTAAGGAGGGAAATTAAAATGGGTGGCCTGGTGCGAACGCCACACTGAGAACCAAATCTCGCGCCGTGGCGATTATACATAGTTTAAGAGCTTGCCGTAAGCGCTACCATCGGATGTGTCCTGGAGTTGAGTGACTCAGTTGCCTACACTGTGGCCCAGTTGGTATCACCACAGTCGTGCGCGCCAATGTGCAGCACCAGCTACAGTGCCAGTCGTGGCCAGTCGGTCTCCTGGAAGCAGTGCTCAGAAGCTGTGCTTGTGAAGAAGAGTTAGGGAAAGTTATTTCGTCGCTCCAGGGATGTAAGAAGGGCGGGAAATTATACATGTTAGAGGATTTCTCTCGGAATACGAAAGTGGATCGCTATTACTCTTATCTTTGTGAGAAATCATAAAGCAAAGTGGTTTATATTTTCTTTTTGTCACAATGAGTACATAAAGACAGGAAAAATGTGTGCGTTTCTTTAGGAGGTTGAAAGTGATACAGGAACGTACGGAGGTTAGCGAGTTTGTGAGGCTGTGTGAAACACTCTCAAAAATGGGAGACAATTTACATAACGGAAGAATCACTAATTCTTTAATGAAAGCGTGGTTATCGTCTTTTCTACGACCTCGTCAAGATGAATTGTTTAGAGACGTAAGTAAATGTATTGCTGTCCGTGAAGTGCGCAATCCTTTAAAACAACTCTCACAAGTGTAAAGAATTCGTAGTGAACATTCATGTCACATTGTTATTTGATCCTGCAGGTGTTCCGGCAAGTGAGGAATCTCAATCTTCCGTTTTCTGAAGTGCAAAGAGCTATGTGTCAATTGACACGGAAGACATCTGTGCCCATAAGAAAACTTTCGTGCTCCCAGTAAGTACTCGCTATAATGTACGAATGACTTCGCCCTGTATTTCCACTCAATTGCTATTAATTATTATTTTAAACTTTTGTTAATAAGTGTAACACACTCAATAGATTTGTGATTTGTCAGTGTAAATGACAAATGAGTGTGTAATATATATACGTAAAGAATGACCAATAGAAAAGTTATAACAGAAAAGTTGTACATATGCTGAATTGAAAAACGGAAAACTTCGAAAATATTGTTTCATGTCGTTCAGTACTTATTTTCTAAGACTAATGAACTGAGAGGTTTATAAAGTCTGAATTATTATACTTGCTGTGAACCCTTTTTCTTAAACATGTTTCTTAAAATGTAATTGAAATACTTTTTGTTTACCAAGATCTACATGTAGTGTATAGTGGATACCAGCAGGAAATCCTAATGTTCACTGTATAATGCATTGCATATAATTGTAATCACTTAACATTTTTATGAAGACACATGTCAGATGATTGCTAGACATTGTGTATATATATAATATATACACATATATAATATTTAATCTTAACATTTATAAATTATCATCTTTGATTGTGCAAAAAACTCTTTTGAAACATTGACTGCTTTCAATAGATGTAACGTGCAAAACAAAACAGAGGCAACAAACAGTATGGAATGTCCTAGGACTTGAAAACAATGAACTTGAAAAGGACTTGAAAAAATGATGGTAGATAAGCATTCATTTTAAGATGATATTAAAATTTAGTTTTTTACTATAAAAAGGTTTAATTAAAGCGAGTGACAACACATCTAGGGCCGACGATCTTTCATTGAAAACAAAACTCATTAAAGTTGGTGGAGTTTGAATTTCATTCTCAATGAAAACCTTTAGTGATTTAAATATACAGATTTAAGAAATAAACTTGCTTTTGTTAGTTACTAGTATCTACTTTTTCAGACATCACAAATTAATGTAAATACACAAAATTTAGTTTATTATAACTTAAGCAAATATACAGCTTCTGTAAATACTCACTAAATATGCAATCTCACTATTAATATATTTTTTTAAATTAATTGTTATTGAACATTCATATAATGAAATAAACCTGTATTATGATGACTGTATGACTGCACATTTAAAGGAAAAATTAATGTGGAATTATTAGTAATTAATTATAATCTGGTATATTAATTTCCCAATACATATTCTATGTGAATATCTATTTACAGTTTGAATTACAGGTGCAAAAGATTTAGGACCTTCATCAAATTTCTTGATATGTTTTAGTTCCCATGTTAGCTTCAAACCACTAAGCATTTTTTCTACAATCAGTAATTGTATACCCTGACTTTCATCCATCCAAAATACATAAATTAAAATCCACATGTCTAATCTATAAGGAGTTTGCAGATATAATGGTCTCAAACTGAACAGAATATGGAAAAAAACACAGTCCAGGGTCAAACGTTTAAGACCTCTGCACTTTGACTATGATCATTCATTTTTTACTGTACACGTGTTGCAAGTACTTGATTAATTAAAAAAGTAGTACATCGTTAAATTTTATTATAAGTAATGCTAAAGCGGAAGATTGTACAAATTTAAATGTTGTTCAAGGGTTGGAAAACTAAAACGGCTGGTACCAGAACGAACTCTCTAATTAAAATATAAGGCGATTTCACAGTTATCAGCTGGTTATCCTCCCTGGCGCTTAGTTACAACTTACATTTTTTTTATAATGAAGCTCCAGATTGGTTACACACGTCTCAGCTGATCAAAAGTCTATCTGTTCTACATTTAAATCAGAAAATAGGGTAATTAAAGATAGTAAAACTTTAATTGATCTCATAATAACTGACAATATGAATATGGGGTGAAAAATATTGCAGACACAAATTATATATTACAAATCACAGCGAAATCAAATAGAAAGGATATATTACAGAGATTATTACTGCAAGCTGCAAATTTTGCAGGGAGGGAAGATCAAACTGAATTGATATTCCAGAGGAGGTTGAGATACCTAAACTCGCATTAAAATTGTGCATAGCTAATAGGAATTGGTGAATGGTGACATGAGTTTGGAGGACATGTAGGGAAATGATTAGTCAGGTAAGGAAACTAGACGTGTATGGAAATTAGAGGAGACCTGTTGGTAATGGGCATGTTCGTATTATGTTTCTTGGGTAGTATTCTACAGAATGAGATCTTTTTGAACTTTCTGTTACATATTTGCAGATTTGATTCTTTTGAGTGCTCAAGTGCCAAAACCCAAAATCTATGTAAAAATAAATAGAAAAGGACCTCTTACAAGATAAAACTAAAAGGATTATACAATTTTTTGTGCAATTTATTTTCATTGCTCAGCAATGTCAGAATAGTTACTCTCAAGAAGTACCAGGCCATTAATGCTGCAAGGCATATTTCAGGGGACGTTTGAGTTAGGTTCTACTAAGAAGTCGTTTTCACTTACAAAACAATTATTTTCAAATTCCAGAGTATTCAATAGTTCATCTTATTTACTGTTATTAAAATATGAAATAGCTTTTGAACAAGCAGCTTGTACAGTTTATTGATGTTAATTATTAATGACTGTTTTAGTGTTATCTCCTGTTGATCTTTTTGTTTTCATTGTTTTATGTTTTGTTTCAGGAGAGATCCCTTAACAAGAAAAAAAAAGAGGAGAAGGATGATAATCGACAGTGATAGTGATGAAGATGGCAATGATTATAAGACAAACCTACATATATCTGATGCTCATGATCACATGGAAGAATCAAATGCATTGCCACAGAGTTCTTTTGTAGGAGTACCCATTTCGAATCCAAACATGGTGGAAGTCGCAGAAATCATTGATTTGGTGGATTCAGATGAAGAAATTCAAGAGTTGCCTACCAAGAACATTCACCTGTGTCGAAAACGACGCTTTGCAAAATTCTTTGGTAGCGATTCAGAAGATGAAACTGATACAATCAAACTTTCTGAAAAATCTGTTTCCTGTGTTCTGATTAAGGACTGTGATTCAGACTGCTCTGATGAACTGTGTGTTAATGAAAGAGTAAAGAGAAAAAATAAAAAGTTGCGGGTGAATAATTCTGACATAAGTCTGTGTGCAGTAGAAGTTAAGAAGGAAGTATTAGCCTCTGATGTACAAAATGAGAATACTATTAGTTGCCAAAAAAATGAAAATGAACTTACCAAGTCAGAAGTAAGTGAACATATTTCCACCGTAATACAAGAGAAATCATATCCATCCCCCACAGAGGTATTAAAGAATGTTATAATAATAGTAGATTCTCCAGAAAATAGTCCTGTAATTATTGATGAAGAAAAATATATTTCTGACGAGTGTTTACAGAAAAATGAATTGGAAAATAAATTACGTAGAGAAGATAATCAAGATGTTCAAGGTGTATCTCAGGCAGAAAATATTCAAAGTAATTCTCCAGGAGCAGAACCGGAAAATTCATCATCTACTCCTAGAGGGCTAATTGAACAAGTGTCAACGTCAGAATCCCTTGCAGACTCCACACTTCAGAAAAATGATAATTCTGATACAACTTCTATTTCAGAGAAGCAGATTACAAGTGGAGGAGAAAATCAACAAGAGGCCACAGTAACTTCTTCTGGATTACCTCTATCTCCTCAAGAAACTTGCCCCATTGGCGGTCCTCGAACAGGCCAAATTTGGGTTAAAGATAATAGAAGCTTGGGAATCTCAGATAATTGGATCGCTTCCAATTTAAACCGAACGAAAGATCAAATTGCAATCTCTGCATTAAGTAGTACATCTGATTTGTCTGGTTTTGATCAAGAGTCTATTAAATGTGCAGAGGATGCAGTCAATTTGATAAGCGAGTTTGCGAGTAAATGGAATAAGAAAGAAGATGAGCTGAAAGCTCTAAATCAAGATAATGATGTTGTTTCTAATTTTAGGAAGAAAGTACTCGCTGCTGAAAAGCAAACTTTAGTGAGGTACATTCAGGAAAATGTAGTTGTTATTTTTAAGAATCTAGTAGAGAAACTTCAAAGTGCGGAAAAAACAGAGGAGTTAATAAGACTTCATATTTCGAAGAGAGAGACAAGCAAAGGTTTAATACCACTTTTTAATGCAATTTGGAAAAATTTTATTTATTTACACAGGGAAGAAGCCCGACCACCAGAAACAGAAGGCAGTGTTTCTCATGATTCATCTTCTCAAACTTTTGTATCAGATGTAGCTAATGCCTGTGCAGATACAAGAGTTTCTTTGATAGATAGTAATAATTTGCTTACTATTGAACCACAAAGATCTAAAAGAGGATCTGTGGGAACAGTGTCACATTCAAACCAATGGTATCAGATAGCAGAACTGAACACTCCACATACACAGTGTGGTCAGTCAAGACCATTTACCACCATGAGTGATCACTTACCTTCTGTTCCGAGTCCAGCTGTCGATTTCAGTCTTTCCATGAGCAATCCATCTGTATCTCAACAACGAACTTCTAGCTCTAGTCAGCAGATGATACAAAACTCTCAAATGCAGATGTATAACAGCCAGTCTACTGATTTGGGAAGAAATGAGAGGGAACAACAGTCGGGTAGAATTGAGGAACAGCTGCTTCATCAGCAGAATACATCTAATATCATCGACGAATCAGTAGTACAACAGGAACCTAATCAGAATCGGGGGTCAAAACAGCAGTCTCATTTTCCAGAACCACATCAACTTCAAACTGTACAAACACAAAATGTACTTTCAAATCAGGGACCTCAACAGCAGCAGTTGGTTGAACGTAATCAATTGCACCAACAGCAATTGGGGCAATCTTATTTTATATCACATACAAGACAAACACAAGCTCAAGTACAAATACCAGTACGATGCCAGGCACAGCAACAAGAGTCTTATGACTCTGCAGGTCAACATCAAGTTTTACGGAGCATGTCACAGGATCAAACACAACCACATAATCAGCAAGCTATTTTACAAAATATTCACATGCTAGAGCGAGAGATGAAACGACTGATGGATCGCTTTAAACTATTAAAATCACGATATCAACACAACCCACAATTGGAAGGTGAGCTACGGAAAACCCATCAAAAGTTAAAAACATTGAGTCGGCAGAGACAACTGCTACTAGCACAATTATTGCCGCAACAGCAGGTGCAGGGAGCACAATTGCCACAGCAGCAACAGCATGTGCAGAGACTACAATTGCCGCAGCAGCAACAGCATGTGGAGAGAGTACAATTGCCACAGCAGCAACAACAGCATGTGGAGAGAGTACAATTGCCACAGCAGCAACAGCAGGTGCAGGTAGCACAATTGCCACAGAGGCAACAGCGGTTGCAACAAACACAATTGTCACAACAGTGGCATCAGCAGCTGCAGCAAACACATTTGTCGCAGCAGCAGCAACAAAAGGATCTGCAGCGAGCACGATTTTCGCTGCAACAAGCACAATTGCTGCAACAGCAACAAGCACAATTGCCGCAACAGCAACAACGCCAATTGCAACAGCAGCAACAGCATGTGCAGGGAGCACAATTGCCACAGCAGCAACAGCATGTGCAGAGAGTACAATTGCCGCAGCAGCAACAGCATGTGCAGAGAGTACAATTGCAGCAGCAGCAACAGCATGTGCAGAGACTACAATTGCCACAGCAGCAGCAACAGCATGTGCAGGGAGTACAATTGCCACAGCAGCAGCAACAGCATGTGCAGGGAGTACAATTGCCACAGCAGCAGCAACAGCATGTGAAGAGAGTACAATTGCCACAGCAGCAACAGCAGGTGCAGGGAGTACAATTGCTACAGAGGCAACAGCGGCTGCAACAAACACAATTGTCACAACAGTGGCATCAGCAGCTGCAGCAAACACAATTGTTGCAGCAGCAACAGCAACAACAGGATCTGCAACGAGCACGATTTTCGCTGCAACAAGCACAATTGCCGCAACAGCAACAAGCGCAATTGCCGCAACAGCAACAAGCGCAATTGTCGCAACAGCAACAACAACCACAGCTCCAGCAGCAACTCAAGCAATCACTACTGCTACAGCATCTGAAAAGACCAAGATTGCCAGCAGGAGCTGAAGCAGAGAAACAACAGCAACAACCGCAATCTCAACCCCAGCAACAGTATCCGCGTTCTCTGCAAGAACAGCAACACCCATATGCTCGTCTGCATCAACAACTGGATCAGCAGCACTTGCAACAGTCACCACAAATAACACAGCAACAACAAAAAGTACAATCACTGGAGCAGAAACGGCGGGATGTGTATCTGCTGCAACAATCACATCAACTACATCAGGAACTAGTTGTAGAAAAGGAACGTAGAATTACCAGTGATTGTGGTGAAAGTTGGTGTGTACCAGACCATGAGAAGCAAAAGCAGTCGGTGTCATCACTACCATCTGTGTCACCACAAACTGTTACAGTTGTACCACCGACCTCTGCTGTTCAGAAATGTTCTATGACTCCTGTTTCAAATGCTTTGGCACAAAATTTACAGTCGAGCTATTCTGTCATTTCAGAATCATCTTCAAGATCAAAGTTAAATCTGGGAATTTTACTACAATCGTCATCGTGTTCAGGGACACATCAGTCTTCTGCTTCCTCTGCAATATCTGATTTATCTTTATCAAATTTACTGAAAAATACAGGCACATCATCATCTTCAGGATCACATCAGTCCTGTCCTTCCTCTGCAGTGGTTAAAAATCAATTGCAGCTGCCACCACCAAACCCTTCTCACAGTTTCAGTACAGATTCATCTCAAACTTTGCCTACTATACTTGAACTTTCAATGCCTAGTTCAAAAACATCACCTGTTATGTCTGAAATAGGTGTTTCATCACTGTCTAACTCTGTTAGGGTGATAAGTAATGAAATATTGAGTGAGGTTAGTGAAAGTGATCAGAATGAAATAAGGGAAGTAATGCGTGTGAAAGAAGTCAATAAACAGGTTTTACAGGAATGTAAAAATGTAGAAAAAGTAATGGAAGGAACTGACATAAACTTAGAGATTGCAAATGTTAGGCCATCTGTCTTAAGAATTCATAAGAATGGAGGAGACATTGAAACCAGAACTGAATGTTCAAGACAGATGCCAGGTAGTGTAAAATTGGCATTTGATAATGACTTGAGGCAGGGTGGAAAGCCTGAAGGACTGATAGATGGAAGGACTGAAGATCTCATAGAAATGCAGTTTGTAGACACTGGTACAAAGAATGTGAATTCTACCATGGGTGACACATGTTCAGTGATAAAACCAATGGATATTTTAAATGAAATTGACTTGACCATAAAGGAAAACAAATCTCAGTGTTCCAGACAAAATGATCTTGTGGAGATAGGAGTTAATGCTATCAGTGAGAATAAACCTTTTACTCAAAAAGAAAATAATGTTAAAGATAGTCAGAGTTCAGAAACAGAATTTCAAATTGGAAATAAAATTACCATAATAGGTCATAACGAAAGTTCATCTTCAATAATAGAAGGACTGGGAAGTAGGAGTGAAGAAAAGTTGCCTCCAGAGGTTCATGGCACAGAGCATGAAGAGGAGACAGATGTAAGTACCCTATCTTTTGTTAGATATTACAATTTACTTTATTAAAACTATTGCTTTTCAATTCTTTTGTTTCACAATTTCGTGTATAAGAAGGGTTATTTCATAAGTAGTAAATTTACATTAAGTGATAGAGAAGTAGAATTAAATTTGTTTCTGAAAGAAAGTGTGATTGTTTTAATGGCTAGGAGGTGATAGATTTTAGCAATTGCTATAAATATAAAGTAACAGTGTGTTGAAATTAAAAGTTGATAAGTATGATTCAAGGTCAGTACAGTGAGTGTATTTCTGAGGTTATTCAATATACTATAAATTCCCACAGTGTTGGGGTTTTTCTCTTGAAAACTGAGTAACTGAGACCATCTTAGGAGTTGCATGATAAACTTAAAATACAAAGAATTGAGAGATGTGACAGTTGATGATTGGATTGTCTTACATTCTTTTCATAAAAAGACATAGTTCTAATGGTGATAACATTGTGTCATTTGTGATGGATATGGCAAAATCAGTGGAACAAAACAGATTTGAATGTGTATGTCGGATGTTATGAACACCATTCTCCATGATGTGTAGGAAGGTAATGCTGTTTTAAAAGGAGAAATATGCATGCAATATGCACTATCATTTGTTAAAATGTGCTAGAAGTAATGAAATATGTTTTAACAATTACATTTAATGTATTTGTGAGCTTTTCATTTTTACAACTAATTTTGTATTTTTGTCTACTTAGTATTCTAGTGACAATTTTTAAAGTAAAATATTATTATTTTGTCTGCATCATCATTGAAGTATCAATTGCTATGCCACAAATTCTTTATCAATGATAAATTATTACATTATAATCAGACAAATACTGTAGCAATGAGTGAAAGACATTCCGACAATTTCTCATTAAAAGCATTCCCTTTCACGTTTGTAAAGTACAGACTGCGGTTTGAGGGGACAACTATGCATATTAATTGAAATTCCAAAAGAAATATGCCACATCAAGAACAAAAAAAAAAGAATAAAATATTAATAATAACTTAAATATGATGCATTAACAGAAAATGCCTTTAATATGCACTAATATGCTATAAAGTTATTGATTGTGTTTTGTGGAAGTTAAATAATTGGCATATTATAAAGCTAATACTTAAAAATGTGGTTATTCTTGACCTTCCGTGCCTTTTATGAAACCTTACAATAATAAATGTCAAGCAGTCTTGGAGATTATGGAATACATATTTATGTTATTTATTTCTTCTTTCTTATATATGTGGTATAGAGAAAGATACATAATGCTGCAAGAAACAATTTGAAGCTGTTGACCGATACATATTTTAGGGGACCCAAAGACCTGATAGATTTATTAGGACTGGTTTCAATGGACAGTTGTCAATAAGCAAAATGTTGAATTAGTTCTTTAATGGGAATGTTTCATTCTTGATTTACTCCAATATTGCTTCTTTAAAATCCTTATTTGCTATGTTTTGTTTTTTTTCTTAGGCTTATCTTTGGTTAATTTTTCCACGGTTTGCTTGAGACTTCCAGTTCGTAATAATTTGACTAATATTAATTTCTCTGTATACATTAGGCATGGAGCCCTACCTTCCAGTTTTTCGATAATAGTAACTTTCTTAGCAAGTGAGAAAGCCTAGTATTTTGAAATTCTTCCCAAAAAAGTTAACCATTTCGTTCTAACTGCAGTGTCTTGAAATAAGAGGAAAATTTCATTTGTGCAGTGACTTATAAGAAATCAGAGTAACTTTTGTCTTTGATTTTCTTTGTGCTGTGGAATTAGTATACTTGTATTGTATTTGTTGAAATTTAAAACAACGAACTCAATTTTATAAAAAAAAATTTTAAAAAATTGAGAAAATACCCTCTTCAGAGACCTTCAATAATAAAATTTAAAAATTTCCCTCGGTGATGATAATATAATTATAATAATATTATAATTATAATATCATTAGAATTTAATTATAATAATTTACATTATTTTTTACATTAATAATTTATATTATTATAATTTTTATTAGTTTTTATAAAGTACAAATTGTCAAAATGGATATTATTAAATAGAGACTGGATTGCATCCTTGCAAACTAAATAACATTACATTACCTTCAAATTAACTTGTAGTGTTTTTGCCTCACATCACATTTATTTCTCTCTCTCTCTCCTTTTGTTCTTTAATTGCCCTCTGACTTTTTCTCCTTTTTGTACTTGGTTCCCATTGCCTCTACAAGTTCTTATTTACTATTGTTATTGATAACAATAGAGTTAATAATAATTATTATAAATATTATTATATTTTATTTATTATTTGTATTTTCTCGTTACTGCTTACACGTCATAGAAAAAGTATTGGTATGCTGCAAGGCGGAGGGGGAGAGAGAATTTCGGACACAAAACTTATGGGCACTGATTATAAATAAAAACTAGATAAATCATGTCCCCACATATAGTTGTCAGAATGAACATTTGGACTTTTCTAATACAGAAATATTGGTTTGAGTAAAAAAGTATGTCCATGCACAATGTGAGGGGCTAAACCATAGGATTTTCATAACGACAGTCACCATGTACCCCCAACGACCACCACCACCACTGTCCCCTCCCCCCCAACTATGAGTCCCATACCTCCGCCCCATTCTTTTTGCAAAAGTGCCATTATGTAGTGATATAATGGAGAAGGCTTCCGTGGCTGGAATTTGTATTATATAGGCTATCCTGTTTTGGGATTGAAATTTCAGCCATTTCCTTTGTCAGAGTGTACTGCTGTAAGTGTAAGCCTCCATGGCAGAGACTTGGCTTGTCCCAGATTGCCTGGATAGAATATTGAATAGTTATGTTATTAGTTAATATTGCTTGTCTCGTGAAAGTTTCATAGAATGCAGCATTTTCTGTTCTTAACATGTGAACTGTATTCACATAAAATGCAGATTAGGACTTCCATTCCTTAGCCTTCCATGATCATCTGAATGCTATTTAATGATTTCTATGGAAGTATGTATGCTTTTATGTTAATCCTATTCTGTATATTAATTCTATAGAATTCTGAAAATCAATATAGAGAGTGTGTTATCAAGTTTCTCAAGTGTAAATGAGGAATAATGAAATCAAATGATGTTAAACATAAAAGTTTAATTCAAAAATACTAATTAGTTAAACTTCACCTATGAAATGTGGATTTTTTTTCTTTTCATTGTTTGTATCTGCCATAGGAATATATGAATGTACTACTAGAACTCCTTGGCGAACCATTGATCCCAACAGTGAATTTTTCTTGACAAATGAGGAAGGGATTATCTATCAACTATCATCTCTGCTCAACCATCGCCTGCAATATTAGAGCGACAGTGAGCCAAATTGCATATTTTTTTTTATATTCACCTTCAAATTGGTTTTTGGGTAGATATTCACTGAATGTAATGCATGATGGCAGCAGCATTAACAAAGACAAAAATTCGCACTGGAAAATATTTTACACCTTTTATGTTTAATATATTCTAATTTAATTCTTTCTTCTCTGCTTTACTGTGTTTTGATGCATTTAACTTGCACAACTTCAGTTTATATTTTTTGGGCAATTAGCATCAGGATTTTTTTAGTTATTGATTTTTTATGTGTACATTAGGTGTTAATTGATAGGTACGTGCAATTTTGTCAAATTTGAAGACTTCTTCAGGACGTTTACTATTGTACTAAAACATACTTTCAATCTACCCAGGATGATTGTAGCTGAGAACCTTCTCTTCTAAAAGTGGTTATAATATCTTTGACATTGAGATCAGAATTTACAGTTGTAGAAGTAGTGTTATAAAATTAGTGCCAACTGTAATGTTATTAGCAAAATTTTGTGAGTGGTCTTGGATTTGTAATAAACTTTTGACAGATTATGCTGTCGTATCATATGCATCTAAACATATGTATACTACATATTAACAAGATATATTTAATGGATCTTATTCATTTAAACTCTTATTATCTCTCAGTACACGTGATATAATTAAAAGACCCTATATTAAAGATTAGACAACTTTTTAGCCATCCAAACCAAATATCTACAAAAAGAGATTTTTGAGAAAATTTTAATCAAAATTTTACATCATATCAATTTTTTATCCAAATGCATACATATTAACTAGTAGTTGAACCTAAATATCGTTGGTGTACAGGGAAAGAGGAAACATTTTATAAAATTTCATGTACATTAAGTGGATGTTTAGAAAATTCTGTTTTAACAAATAAAAATTCAGTAAGAATAGTTCACAAGCAGAATTGAGAAAAATATGTGAAAGAAGTATTTTAGATGTAAAATACTTCCATAAAAGCATTTTAGATACAAAATTGTATTTTAAAATACTTTTGAAGATACAAAATACAACCAATAGTGATCCAGCTTCACAATTTAGTTTTCAAAACTTGGTTGTAATTTACAATTTTATACAATTGGACAGGTTTCCCTTCAACAATACTAGTTTTTCAAACATTATATAACTAATATTTCTTCTTTAATTGTAATTGATTTTATTAACATTGAACTTGGTAACGAGATCATCAAATTTTGTTTGAACATTTCCTTTTTATTGCGTATTCAAGAAATCAGATGTTAAGTTTGTTTTAACTTCTTAGCATTAGTATCACTATTCACAGAGCTATTCGTTTTCCTTCTATGTGCATTTGATCTTCTGAAGCCCTCTTTAAATTTTTTTTATTCAATTTTCTCATCGCAGCAAGATGAATTCTCTAAAATATGCAAAGAAATTTTCAATTCCATAGTAAAAATAATGACCAGTAAAATTCAGTCTTTGAACATTATTGAGTGCATTTTTTAATTTATAATATTACTGCTTGTTATTTTCAGGTTAATTGTGTCTTAAAATTTGTAGTTGAAGGAACTACAAATAGTCCGTTTGACAGGATTACAAATTTCACATGCTTTCACTTCAATAACATGTGAAATATGTTCCATCTAAAATAGCACATTTTGATGATTTATCATTTTCCAAAACATA